GAAGGTTAGGGCATGCTTTGGTGGGTGTTTGAGGTCTGGTCCAGGTCTGGGGAAAGCGGAGGTATGGGGAGAAGGTTAATGGTGAGGGTGAGAGGCCAGTTGGCTGTGCGGACACAGTCCTTGCCTGATGACGTCAGTCAGGCGCCGTTTTTTGTTTTTTTTTTTTCCTTTTTTTTTTCCCCTCCTGTCTTTGTTGCCTGCCCACTGCAAGCACCGAAATTACAAGGTGGGGCAGATGACTCTCACTTTCTCTTCCCCCTGTTCAATATCACGAGTTGGTTCCAGCCCCGCCCCGCACGCTGAGAGGCATTGGTGCTGTGCCACACGCAGCCAGCGGCAAGTACAAGCTTAAAAAGCTAAGAGTTCCTCAGTACAGTGATTTTTAAAAAAGGCTAATTTAAGATTTTGATGTACTGAGACTTATGGTGGCTATAATGGTCTGGGTTCGCCACAGGAAGGTTTGTTTTTGTGAATTACCCTCCCACGAACCTGGAGCCTCACTCACCCGGCCCATCTGGCCGTCTGGCAAACCCCATTTTCATTATTCTTGTGTGATAGATTCTGTGTCTTTAGCCAGAACAAGGTTCCTTACTTAAACAAGTGACCAGCTGTTGCAGAATTAGGACATCACTCAGCTCTCTGATATAACAAAATGAGAAATACTATAGCGAAATATTATAGCCTGTGTCTTCAATTTTTCCTTATCTCCTAAATGTGTTGTGGTGGTTAAGTACACTTGAGTCAGTTCTGACTCATATATAGTGTTTTCAAGAGGTGGCTGGTGGGTTTGAACCTCCGACTTTGCAGTTAGCAGTTAGTATTTAACGTAAAGCACTACACCACTTCATTTTGGTGGTGGTAGTTATATGCCATGGAGTCAGTTCCGACTCATAGTGATCCTGTACAGGGTTTCTGAGGCTGTAAATCTTTACGGGAAGAGAAAGCCTTATCGTTCTCCCACAAGAACAGCTGGTAGTTTTTAACTGTGACCTTGTGGTTCACAGCCCAATTTGTAACCACTATGCTACCAGAGCTCCATTCCTTTATTAGAGACTAGAATACTACTGAAAGCTACACTGCTGGTCTTGGGGATTATTTTATAGGTAAATCACAGTGGGCTACAGGAAGCATAGATAGGCTCTCAGAATGATTTTCCACACAGATATTGTGTTGATTTTTTTTTAATTATCCATAATAAAGATAAATTATAACATACCAGTAACAAGAAGTGATGGATTCAGTGGCATACACCAACAACACAAATATTTGCATTTTCATTCAAATGTAAGCTGTCAATTTTTTCACTGAGTTATCCCAAATAATTAACCTATTGCTTGGCACATGGCGCTGTAGGCTTAGCACTGGACTCGAACTACAAGCTGCTCCTTGGAAACCCTATATAAGGTAACTATGAGTTGGAACTGATACGATGGCACTTATTGACAACAACATAGCAGAGATAGGAGCCCTGGTGGTGCTACAGATAAGCACTAGACTGCTATCCACACGACTGGCAGTTCAAACCCACCAAACGCTCTTCAGGAGAAAATGACACTTTCTGTTCCCCTAACAATTTATAGCCTCACAAACCCTCTATAGGATCATTATAAGTCAGAACCAACTTGACAGCACTTAACAACAACAATACAGAACAGAGGGTGGAAAGGTACAAATTAAAAAACCATTATAGGAGTTAAAAACAAACAAATCAATAATAAAATTATGAACATCACAGAAATGGATATTTTTATGCTGGGGAGAATCAAATTGCCTGGATACATACATGTGAGTTCTGGGACAAGAGAAGGGTTTTTTTTTTTTTTTTTCTATTCTCTCATATATTTTTGTTTCCAGTTCTCTTGTTCACAATGAATTTTAATCACTGATGCCAAACTAGAAACAAAAGTTAAGCTTTTCTGTATAGAGGTCATAGCCCAGATTTCAGACAAAGAAGAATGTCAGTCAATGTTAATTTTGTTGTTGCTCTCCTTCCTACAACAAGTGAAATTATTATCTAACCCATCATCCTCTCTAGGAAACATCGGTTGGTATTTCAGCGGATTCTCTAAGACTCTTATTTACGATTTGTGTTTCGTTTTTTAAATGTCAAACTCAGCAACATTTCCTTACTAGAGGGTCAGGTTCACCTTTAATGAAATTTGTTAGCCTCTATTCTCAGCTGTTATGATTCAATCAATTGAAGATCAATAGAGAAACTTCATCATAAGCACGTCCCAAAGTATTACCATTTCAAATTATTTTGTTGAAAAAAAGAAACCTGATATATACAAATACAAGTATATGAGTAGGGTGTCCCTGTGTGGTATACATTATGAAATCACTCAGCTGCTAACTAAATGCTTGGTGGTTTGAATCCACCCAGAGGGCCTCAGTAGAAGGAAGGCAATGTACTTCAGAAAATTCATTCATTGAAAACCCTGTAGAGCAGTTCTACTGGAACAAACATGGGATCCCATCATGAGTCAGAATCCACTGATAAAAGCAACTTGCTTCTTTAACCAGCACTCATGGCCCCAATATAAATCTCAGTTCATGTTTAAGGAAGAGGCAGGCATTGGCCCATCAGTAGCACCTATTGACTGTATAACCCACACATTGTTGGTGGTGATATTAAGTGTTGTCAAGTGGGTTCCAACCCATAGCAACCCTGTACAGGGTTTCCAAGGAGCGACTGTTAACCTTGAACCACCAACCTTGTGGTTCCAAATGGCTTTGTAGTCCATCTCATTAACCCATACTGCCACATCAACACTCCATATAGCCTCAGGTGATTCATTTCTACAAGAAGTTTTTTGTGTGTCTCATTTTGGTTTTTGCTAGAAAAAAATGATTCAGAAATCTTACAGATTCTGAGACTGCTAGAAAATGTCTATCTTAAATAGCTACAGATTTGACACATAAAATTTGTGCACATGCCCTACAGGAATCACCACAAATTTATTCCTTAGAGGCTTCTAAACAACCAATATCAAAGAACTCACCTCTCTTAGTATCAGTCTGGGTCCACTGTGAGATAAAAACTCAAAGGAAAATACACTGGAGGCATTTGCTAGAGGGCTTGCATCCAAGCAAATATCAAGCAATATAAACTGATATTAATTATATGAGGGGGCTTAAAAAATTTCAAGGTAAAAATGTAATTGAAAGGTAACTGAATTTTTTCCATAAACTTTTGATGTCTCATATAATCAAAATCAAGATATTAAAATATAGCTAGTGACCTGTGATATCACATTTTCAAACATTGTCTGTCTCCCTAGAGATTCCAGAAAAGAGTCATTTCCAGCAAACAGTTTTGAGATGTGGAGACAGAACTGGCTTAGAATCAGGGTTGTGTCATTCCTTAGCTATATAAGCTTGGAAGTTATTTAATATCTCTAAGCATTAACTGCAAACAAGGATGCTATAAATACTTTTTTTAGTTTGTTATAAAAATTTAAGCATGATATGTCAGGTAATAATGGGTAATTAGCATTTACCAAGTGTCAGGTGCTAGATGAAATAAGTACAAGTACTGTTCATAGAAAGGACTCCTGGTAATGTAGTGAATTATGAGATGGGCTGCTAACTGCAAGGTCAGTAGTTCAAATCTACCAGTTGCTTTGTAGGAGAAAGATAACGCTTTCTGCTCCCATAAAGATGTAGAGTATTGGAACCCTATACTGGGTTTCTATGAGTCAGAAGTGACTCTATGGCTCACCACCACCACTGCAAATAGAAGACAGCCCTGGTAGCATAGTAGATTCTGAGCTGGGCTGCTAACTGCAAGGTCAGTAATTCTTATCTACCAGTCACTCTGTAGGAGAAAGGGGAAGCTTTCTGCTCCCATTAGGTTCACAGCCTCAAACCCTATACAGGGTCACTATGAGCCAGAACTGGCTAGATAGCACACAACCACTACCATCACAACTGCTAGTAGTTGAGAAACCTAAAGCATGAGAGAGAGAGATCCACTCACATGCAAAAAATCACTTGGTTAGAAATTCACAGAAACAGGACTTGAGCTCAGCATCAAAGTCTTCTCCAGGGACTGGTGATACCTAATATGAAACTTCTCTATTCAGTAAGGAGTCCTGGTGCAGAGCTCTGGGTTAATGTGTCAGACAGCAAGATCACTGTGAACTGCAAGGTCGGTGGTTCAAGCTCACCAGTCACTCCTTGGAAACCCTACACAGGGTCACTATGAGTCAGTACTGACTGGACAGCACTTAACAACAAACGCAGTAAAGACTAAACAAATGTGCATCATAGCTACTGTTAACATCATCCCTGTCACCACATTAAATATATATTATATATACATTTGTTTCTTTACATTGAGGTGCAACGCATACTGAAGGCTGTGGTCTTCAATCTTCACCGGTATGCATGTATATATAAATATAATGTAAATAGATACATACATACTGATGTATATACATGGAGACACAAAGGATGACAGGATACACACACATATATATACACACACAAACACATTCATACATATATACTATTAAATACTCACACCAAAGAATGCACAATACCTGGGACAGGGCTGCAAAATTTCTCCCTGGACAAGGCAGGCCTCTTTCTCTAGAAGTTCAGGGCACTCCTTTCCTCCTCCGATAGCAAAGTGCTTCACATTCCGGCTCCTACTCCTAAAACCGGGAGAGAGACTCCCTGAACGACATGTCTTAGAGCAAGGACTCCAGGAGGACCACTCGGTGAGTTCACAGTCTTTCGGCATGACACAGGACTGAACGGTCAACGGGAAGGAGTCTTGCATGCATAGGCTGATGGAACAGAAACAGAGAACAAGAGGCAGTTAAACAGATAAAACCAACACTATGAAGTGCCTACTGTGAGAAAAAATAAAATCTGTTTTCAGCTGCCTTCAAAAAAGAACAACTATCATCAAGAAATTTGTTTTGACCCATTCACAGAGACCCCGTGTATGTCAGTGTACACCTGTGCTCCATGGGGTTTTCAGTGACTGATTTTTGGAAAGCACATGACTAAAGTTTTTTTTCTGAGGCACCTCTAAGTGGACTCAAACTGTCAACCCTTGATTAACATCTAGGCATGTAACTATTTGTAACACCCAGGGACTCCCAAAGTTTCAAACAGGAGGGTTAAAAAACTACAAAATGTTCAAGGCATTGTGAAAAATCTTGGAGGGCATTATGTTTTAAGAATGTGCACTGTATTTCATAAGATACGGTGAAGCTGTTTCACTTGACTAACACACACAAAGTGGGTCCACCTTGTGCTCTCTCCCAAGTGCCTTTGCGTAGGATATCATCAACAATGAACATTATTGGCTGGGTCAGGAGCCACATATTGTGCAGCACATCACAGAGATTTTCTCACAACAATCATTAGATCCATTTCACTGATGAAGAAATTTTGGTTTAGGGAGCTTACATTATTTGTAGCAGGTCAAATTCATGCTGGTGGCACAGTGGTTAACTGCTCAGCAAGTAAATGACAGATTAATGGTTCAAACCCAGCAGTTTTCCTTCATGAAGATTGCAGCCTTGGAAACCCTGTGTTGCCGTTTTATTCTGTCCTATAGCATCACTATGAGTGGGTATCAGATTGATGGTAAATGGTTTAGGTCAATCCAAGGCAAATGCAAGCTTCGGAGTGATCATTTATTCATACTTTTAAATACTGAGCCATTAAAAAATGGCATATTGATTATACTTTCGTACACTCTGAAGCATCAATTGTTGCACATCAATTTTCTCATCTGCAAAATCTAGGTGCTTTCAAGTACTAACAGTCTAATTGGGAAACAGATAAATAAATAAAAAGATAAGATATGTGATAATGTGATGAATTCAACATAAAAGCACTTAAATGAGGAGTAGGAACACTTTTGAGGCAGTGATGGACCACCTGGGAAGGCAGGGGGACTCAGAGAGAATATCTTTGTTCCATTTAAAAAGATTAATGGGAGCATCTCAGGCACACAGGGATGACTATTCTCAACAAGGGAGCTACATCTTCAGAGTTCTGAAATAACACCTGAGGGGATGAAAACTAGTGTCTTACTGAAGCTGGCTTCGGGCTCACAAGAATCAGGTGTTAATTTATCAGGAATTTCACCAGTCAATTGATGTCATTTTGTTGTTGTTGTTGTTAACTCATTGCTACCCTTCATAGGGTTTCCAAGGAATGGCTGGTGGCTTTAAACTGCCAACCTTGAGATTAGCAAGTCCAGTGCTTATGAGACTGGGGCCACACCAGGACTCATAATGGTAAGCTTAAATACTACGGAAATTGGCAAATGCCACAAATACTCCCACTTAGAACCCTCTACTTATGCCAATCCTCCTGTCCTACAACTCCCTGAACACTTACAAGTAAGCCAGTGGGTAAATATTAGGAACGTGAGTTCCTCGAAAGCAGCTCTGTAAAGTCTTCATGTTACAAGCTAAGGAGCTTAGATTTAATTCTTAGTACAAAATGATCCCAAATGGAAGAAAATCTGCTAGATTCATACGCTGTTGTTTTTAAGTGTGGTTTAGTCAATTTTGACTCATAGTAACCCTGCACAGAGTTTCCAAGGAGCAGCTGGTAGGTTTGAACCACTGACTTTGTGGTTTATTGTCCAGTGCTTATCCTACAGCACCACACCAGGGAGATAACATTTCAAACACTAATTGCCAAGCTTTTCCTTTTCTAACTTCCTGGTGGTGATAGTGGTTGTTAAGTACCATTGAGTTGATTCTGAACCATAGTAACCCTGTATAAGGTTTCCAAGAGTGGCTGGTGAACTTGAACCGCCAGCCTTGCATTTTAAACCAACCCTGAGGACCAGAGCATTAACCCACAGCTCCATACCAGGACTCCCCCTTGTGGTTCGTCCTTCCCTTATTCAGTCAAAGGAGGCCTTTACTTTGGAGAGACAAAAGATAATTTGAGCAAAAATGCAAACAAAAGGCAGGGTCAGTGTTTAGCTACTGACTTCTAATTCATGTCTATCATGGTGGAAGAATGTACAGTAGACAGGTTAAGAGTGCCACCAATGGAGAAATGAACTATAAAAGGTGATGTGAAGGATGTTTAAATAAAATGCTTAAATGTGGCCAAATTGGTGAGTAACTGACAGTGAAATTTCTAAACTAATATCCCCATTAAGCTGAGAGTTACTGTTAATTTAATAAAGAACAAGGTAACATAATGCAAGACAAATGTTTAGTCCAATATTTTAATTCCAAAAATCTATTTGGATCATATATTGTTTTAAGCATGGTGGAGTCAGTTTTAAGTCATAGCAATTCTGGAGGGCTTGAACTGTCAACCATGTGGCTCATAGTTCAATGCTTATCCTACAGTCACCACACTCTCTTTAGGTCATATTAGTCACAAGATTCTTTCTGTGGTACTGTAAGATAAGCAGTGGACTACTAACCATAAAGTTAGTGGTTCAAATGCAGCAGCAGTTCCTCTGAAACCCTATACAGGGTAGTTATGAGTCGGGACCCAAGTCCAACACCCTTAATAACAACAATAACAATAATCACTTCTATTAAAAAAAAAAAAAAGAGAGAGAGACAGACATCACTTACTCTAATATATTATTTTATGACAGGTAAGGAGCTCTGGTAGCATAGTGGTTACAAGTTGCGCTGCCAACCTCAAGGTCAGCAATTTGAAACTACCAGGGGTTCCGAGGCATTCTGCTCCTGTAAAGATTTATAGCCTCGGAAATCCTGTACAGGGTCGCTATGAGTCATACCCGACACCACAGTACTGAACAACAATCCAAAACATACTAGGAATAATCTATTAAACATGCCTCACTGTAATGGCACTGTAGCATAAGCACCGGAATGCTAACTGCAAGGTCAGTGGTTCAAACCAACCAACATCTCCCCGGAAATCATATACAAGGTCGCTCGCTATAAGTTAGAACAGATTCAATGACACTTAACAACAACAACATGCAACGATAAAACTGGGAGAAAAACATACGATTTTCTACTCCCATAAAGGTATACAGAGGATCTCTGGTAGTCTGGTGGTGTGCCATGGAGTCGATTCCTACTCATAGCAACCCTGCACAGGGTTCCCGAGGCTGTAAATCTTAAAGGAGCAAAAAGCCTCATCTTTCTCCCTCGGAGCAGCTGGTAGTTTCGAACTTCTGACCTTGAAGTTAGCAAGCCAACTCGTAACCACTACACTAATTTGGGCTGCTAACCTCAAGGTCAGCAGTTTGAAACTACCAGCTGTTCCGAGGAAGAAAGTTGAGGCTTTCTGTTCCTGTAAAGATTTACAGCCTCAGAAACCATGTACAGGGTCACTATGAGTTGGAACTGACTCCATGGCACATAACCACCACCACCACTGAAGTTATACAGACTGAGAAACTCTACACAGGGTCACTCAAAGGCCCTTAACAGCAGCCACAGTACAGAATGCATTATCACTATCACTGTGCAATATGGAGATGGTATGAAGGACCACCTCCTTCTGTTCTGAGACAAAACAGAAAGATTTGAATCAACATAAAGTGTATAAATTTTTACTTTTCAGAAATTTAATAAAATTCTGTCACTTGTGTATGCTTTTAGAAAAACAGTTTCCATTTCCAAACTGAACATGCTTCTTTTGTTTTATAAAAGGCTCCACATTCTTCAGTACTCAGTCTACAGAGCAAGTACTGGTTCAATTCTTTGGGCTTATCTGTTTTCACTTTTTAATTTTCATCACCACCACCCCCATAAGTCAGTTATCACACTGTGATGTCTTTGCTTGTTGCTGCGATGCTGAAAGCAATGCCACCAGAATTCTAAATACCAGCAGGATACACCCATGTGGACAGGTTTCAGTTGAGCTTCTACAGTAAGATAGACTAGGACGAAGGAGAGGCAGATATTTATCCGTTGTAAACCTTATGAATAGCAGTGGAACACTGTCAAATAGCACTAGAATACTGAATATTGAAACATAATGGTGAACATCACAATATAGTCAGATGAAATGCAGAAAGATGAGCCCCTCAGTTTGGAAGGAACACAAAATATGGCTAGGGAACAGCTGCCTCCTAAAAGTAGAGTGAACCAAGATGATAGGAATGGAACAAAGATTTCAGGATCTTCATTTACTGATGGGGGACAACTAAAAATGAGGAGAAACCACTGTAAATATCCATTAATAATTGGAAAATGGAGTAAATGAAGTATGAGTCCAAGAAAATTTGAAGTTGTCAAAAACTAAATGGAACACACAGACATTAGTGACCTGAACCTCCACTCATCTGAGAGTTTGTATGTTGCTGTGATTCTGGAAGATATGCCATTGGTATTTTAAATATCAACAGGGTCAAACATGATGGACAGCTTTCAGATGAGCTTTCAGATGAAGTCAGAGTAGGAAGAAGGAGAGGTAGACTACATCAAAATATTTAGTCACAGAAACCTTATGAATGCCAATGGAACATGGTCAAATACAACCAGAATATTGAACACTGAAATATGATGAAGACCACCAGAATATTCTCAGATATAGTGCTAGAAGATGAGCCCCTCAGGTTAGAAGGCACACAAAACACAACGGGGGAAGAGCTGCCTCCTACAAGTAGAGTTGACCATGATGGCATGAATTGAATATAGCCTTCAGGACCTTCATTTGCTGATGAGGAACAACTCAAAATAAATAGAAACAGATGTAGACACCCATTAATAATCAGAGCATGGACTGTACAAAGGATGAATCTAAGAAAATTGGAAATTGTAAAAAATGAAATGGAAGGCATAAAAATCAATATCCT